CCCAGCTGCTGTTGATTACCTGGCCAAAAACGTGAGCCTGTCCACACAGCGTCGCATGAAGCTCGGGGAGCACTCCGCTGTGCTGGGACTCCTGCCAGTGGAAACTGGCCAGGCCTACTAGAGCCCCTGGGCCAACCTGCCCCCGCCCAAGTCCCAGCTCAACCCTTACTGATCCCTGAACCTCCCAGCCTCAGTTCCCTCAGCACCCTGGGGCCCCAGGAAGCCAGGAAAAGAGCCCATTCCCTTCTCATAGCCAGCCCTCTGGAAATGTGCAGCCAGTCTATCATCCGCCTGTGGTCAGGGACCCAGAGTGGCCCCACCTGGGAGTGCGCCCCTTTACTCTCTCCCTAGGAGGGTTTCTGGTCAGCCTGCAGTCCTCTTCCAGTCAAGTCCTGTTGTGGCCTCTGTGCCATCCCAGGCACAGAGATCAAGGCTCACCCTGAACAGAGCGCCATGGGCACCCCAGAAGGATGGTGTCTGGGATGAGGCCCTGGAGCCCTTTGGACCCGACTCCAGTGGGTACCCTGGCTAGAGGTGGAGGTGGAGCTCACAGGCCACTCTCAGCAGTCCTCCCAGGTGTGTCCCTGGCCCAGGGCGAGAACCACAGCCCATTCCACCTCTGGATGCTGGCACCCCAGTGAAGAGGGGACCGTACCCCTGAGGTTTTCCTAGAAGAATCACCTAGGAATTCTGAGGACTTCAGGACCCTCCCTACACACCTCTACTGGGTGTCGGGGGGGGGGGCAATCTAGCCAAGGCAGAGGGGTGGGAAGAACAGGAAGAGGCTTAACCAGGGGGCGGAGCCATGTGGGGGTGGGGCTTGTCAGCAGGGGCCAGGCCCAGGATACAAGGACCCAACAAGGCATCCAGATGCATCCAGCTTTTAGACTGAAGCCCAAGTTACAACATTGCCCACCCCATGTAGGGCCTGGGGAGCCCACAGAACCCTTCAGTTTTCTTATTCCCTGGATCAGATGGGAGGGAGAGGGGATCAAGCTTTGAGGACCAGTGAGTGAAGAGGCATAGGGCAGTCTCAAAAGGGAGTTTGTTACTGGAGTCCCCCTGCATAAGGGTGGCAAACGGTTGTTGCCAAAGGCTTCAGCTCTACTGAGCATCCATTTCTCACAAAGCCTCAGCAGAGACCTAAGCCTACCCCCTGCACCCCCAACCCTGTAGGAAGGGGACCTCCATCTGTCCGTGAGTCCCTTTAATCTTCTGGGGGTGCAGAGGACTTCCCTTGGAGCTTTGGAGAAGGGTTCTTGAACCGGCAGGGACTACTTGCCCCATAGACAAGACCACCGACTCCCCTTGGCATTTGGGGAGGAAGTGGCATGTCCCTGACGCACCCAGAGTGGTATCTTTCAGGGTTGAGTCATAAGAGGCCCCTGTCTCCTGATCCAGCACAGCTGGGTGGGGGAAGATGTGGCCAATCTTCAAGCCGCCACCCCTGGGCAGAGGGGGACACCGACAGTTCTGGAGAAGAGGGCAGTGGCGCCTTCCTTGGTTCCTCCAGTGGCTTCCTCAAGCTCCCTTCTCTTTAAGAGCTGAGACCTTTGGGGACAGGTTCAAGCCCCTGACTCCACCTAACCTTGGAACTTTGCCCCACCTTCACCTATTTATCAAAAATTAAATTCATCTGCCCCATCACCATCATTATAATCTACACTTGGATCACCTTGATCAAGTGCTGCTGGGTAAAAGGCACTTGTGACGGAGACACAGCACTGAATCCACAAAGACTGGACCAAATCGCTTGTCTCCATTTGGGCACAGGAGGCCACCTCTTTTGCTCAACCATGCCTCTTGCCCTCAGCCAACAAGACATTCCTAGAGGGAAGGGCTGCTGCTTAGGGGTTGAGCCAAGTTCCTTCCTACTGGGGAGCTGGTTTGGCAAGATGCTAAGACACTTTCCTGCATGGACGTCACCTCTGTGACAAATGCTCAATTGTTTCTCATCTTCAGACCCGGTAATATCAAGCCTGTCCTGGACCACGCCAGGGTGGCTTGTGTCTCTGGTTTAGAGGAACCTATTAATAATTGGGGACAAATAGACTCATTGGTAGCAGCGGACACCCAGACCTGTGTGTGGCCCATCAATTTCAGTCAAGGTTTCAACTAGAGCATCTACTGCAGGAGACTTTTGGTTCTTCAAGCTCTGGACACAAAGGAAGACTGTGTTGTCCCTTGGTGACCCAGTCCATGCTTTTGTAGCTATCACAGCCAGGAAGCAGCTCTTCCTTAAAATCAACCACAATCTTCATCCACATTCCTTGAACTATTAACCTTGCCTCCTGGAGGCCTGGCTCAGGAACCATCTGAGTCTCTTTACACCCTGTGTTACCCAGGAGCAGGGATGTCCGGCACGTGCCCAGCCCCACCCCAGGAGGTGACATTCCAATGCTAGGACCAATCCAAATCTCTGCCCCCTATGGTGAAATGGGAATAAACCAAATGATTTTTCATTTCGTCCAACTTCTCTGAAGCTTTCCCAAGCCACCATCTTGGTAGAAAATGGGACGTATTCCCCCAGGGGCCCCAGCCGCCTCAGAAAGAGACCCTGACCCAGACACGTTTTCTCTAAAACCCCATGTATTAATGTGTCTAGCCAACTCGGTCTGTAAAATTCAGTCTTGTGTTGGCAGCTTGCAACTTCACCAGAGAGATGATTTGAGGCGAGAGGCCGCCAACTCTTGAGGGTTGACCACAGCCTGAGAAAGAAGGCCTGAATCCCAGTGGCGAGGCCAGCCCAGAGACAGTCCCCATCCATCCCTGTAAATAGAGTCCGTAGCAACATAAGAGATGTTTCCTCCAACTTATCACAAGTAGCTGTTGGTCCTACCTACGGGCAGCCCTCTTCTGAGTTCATTGTACATTAGTTGGAAATGTGGTGATGTGCTGTTCGTTTATAGGAAGTTGACTTTTATATAAACAAATATATATACTAAAAAAAAAGGAAAGAAAACCCCCACAGTGCGTGTCGTGCTAGTGCCAGGGACCATCTGTAGGGATATATCTGCATATCGTGTGTTTCAGATTATACATTCCAGGCTCTCTTGGGTTCTTTCATTTTTATTGCTTTGTTTTTTTCATTTGGTATTTCTCTCTTGCTATGAAAACAAAAAAATGATGTGTAAGAACCAAGCTATGCTTTTATACTCTTATTTTTTACTTGATTTACCTTTGCCGTTCTTTTGCCAGAGGAACACGAAGGAGAGGAGGGAGAGGGGGATGAGAGAGAAGGGAAGAACGAAGAGAGAGGTTTGCCCAGAATTCAAATGAGAAGGTCAGGTTCCCAGTCTGACTATGGCTTGAGGACAGGACAGGTCCCAGACGTTGACCACTCCACCGAAACCCAGTGTCATTTTAGGTGGAGGTGGTGCAGCATTCTGAGCTTCGATCCTGGAACTTAATGAAACTCCATGATTGCCTCCCCCCCCCGCCCAAAAGACATTCTCTGGGGCCTCTCTCAGGTTGATGTGCTGCTCCTCAAGCTCCCACACATGCCCTTCACTACTGGATGCTTTTTGAGGTTGACAGGTCTTTCCTCCTCTCCCGCAGAGGCACCAAACCAAGACCAAATGGGGGTTCTCCAGCTGCCATCTTGAAATGCTCAGAGACGTCCGCGTTGAATGCTTTCTCTGTCAACTCTAACATGGCCAATCCCCTACCTGAAAAATAGCACTCAAGATCATTCCTTCTTCCTAGTAACTGCAACTTGGTTGCTTCTGTGTTTGACTCACAAGCCATTTTCCTCCATGTGGAAGTGAGCGTGTGTGCATGAGCGTGTGAGTGGGGTGTGTGCATGGGCGTGTGGGCGTGAAGGTGTATGTTTAAATATAATCGCACCATAATTTATTCAGCTATAAGGAGTAGTAGACTAGAAAGAGAAACTGGCATTTGCTTTAACTACCTGCTTGTAAGCGCTTCCTCTGTAACTCAGGCGTAACTGTTATACATTAAAAGAAATTAAAAGCATTTCCAAGGTTCCGTGTACTCAGTTGATCGCCATTATGTGGCTGCCCTGAAAGGGACTGAGGGGTGGTCAAGAAGCCTTTTGACCTAATTTAGAGGGTCAGGGTAGGAACTGCATTTCTCCAGGTCCCCCAGGGCCAAACAGCTGCTAGACACATGGCAGATGCCTGATCAATATGTGATCAATGGACGCTGTTGCTTAAGTATCTCGCTGGTGAAACCTCAGTTCTCGTCACCAGGACAAACTTTTCTTGCTGCTAAGCTTAGCACCCTCTGTGGCCATCTCAGTAGGACACAGAATTTGGGGGACAGGAGAGAGCTCAGAAGCTTACATGTTGCTGTAGAAGTGACAGGAGGATTCCTGGGCAGGCGAATGATTGAGGGAGCGCCCTCAGGAGAAGTCTGTAAGGGAGTGAAGGAAGCAAGACAGGCAGGGGAGGAGCTGAGCGAAGAAGGGGTTTTAACTGGAGTCTCCCTTCAACCTGATCCTGCAGGGAGCTCTGGGCGTGAATTACAGCGCAGAGGTAGTCTTGCCTTGAGACCGGGGGCCAGCTTTCTGTTCCACAGTGTCTGTCGTTCACTGGATATTCATTGGGGATGTGGATGGGTGGGTGAAGGGCTTATGTGTCCAAGCATCAGGCTCCTATAGGCTGTGGCCAGCTCTCCACAGAAAGGTGCTGTGGTGAGCCCTTAGCAGCAACATTCATGTCAGATAGGGGACAGATAGATGCCCAATAAAAGGCATCTGGGCAAGGACTAGCAGCATCTACCCTACTTGTGTTCCCCTGGCTCTAAACCAGCGTCCCCATGTCACTCTAGGGTGCTGGTTTACTTGAATGATCTGAACAAGAAGGGGGCATTGTGGGGGAGTTGTTGGGAAAAATTGTACATGAAGGATTGGGAAGGTGTTCCTATGGACCTGGTCCATCCAACCCAGCCAAGTGCTTCAGGGCAGGACCAAGGGAGGCTGGGCCTCCCCAGGTCTGAGACCCATCAGAGGGCTGCCCCGGCGTCCTCCTCCACATAGAGTCATTGCCGTGTGATGAGCTCTGTACCAGCTCCCTATGAAATCCAGGCAGCTCATGTCAGAACCAGGGCTCCCAACCCCGTTCCACCCCATGTCTATCACCCCACCTCCTCCCACCCCAACCGGACAATTATCGTTCAGTAAGTCAGGAAGATATGGGGGACAGTCAAGAACTAATCAAGTTCTCTTAGCTCTGCATATAACGACTGTGGACCCTGAGACAATTTTCTCCACCTC